AAGAAGAAATTCATGTTCCTTTTCTCTGTTAAAGGCTGAAGAGCTTTTCTGGACATCTCATTTTTCTCAGAGCTCAGAGACACATATGCTCCCCTATGGCATTATATATGACAGTCTGACATGGTAGATGCCTTACTGAAAGTGGCTGCTATGTATACTGGCTGGGATTGCTTTGGGTACCGTGACAGCATTTTCTCACCATAGTCAGCTATGCTGATCAGCTCCAGCGAGGCTGCAGGGCCCTCCTACGTGTAACGGTGTCTTAGACGATGGATCAGGGAGAAGACAGAGATTACAATCTGTGAGTGTGTTCGCCCCGCTCCCTGCTGCAGAAGTTTTCTGACAGTTATTTCCATGGATGTTTTATCCAGTCTGACTTCAGATGATCCCAGCAGTGGGAATTCCGTCTTTCAGGCTCCCTTTACCAACTCTGAAGCTTCTCAAAAGTGAAGGATTCTGTTAAATTTCAAAACACCAGAACCAATTTTAAAACCATCTTGTTCTTCAGTATAGACAAGACCCTGGAGACCACGACTTTTGTTATCACTCTGCTCTAAGGCAGCCTCTCTTCCTTTGTGGTTACAGCAGATAGTATGGGTCCTGAAGCACCGTGTAATAAGTCTCTCCTTCCAGCCAGGTTAGATAAGGATTGATATATTTTGACTAATTTCCCCAGTAGAAATATGTCTAAGCTCAGCGTTCCCAGAAAGAGGCAGCAAATGTTGATGTAATCGAAGAATGTTGAGTTTTAACCATAATTAAAAAAAAAAAAAAAGAAGAGGAGGCAGGAATTTGGATATTAACTTATATGTGTATGTGTTTAATTTGTTCCTAATCAAAACAAAGCTCCTGCTTCTTTGACAGAAACCGGATTGTGAAATAAAGCCTATTTCCCTCCAAGGGTGTATGTCAGGCAAGCAGCTTGTGGGGGCACTGGGAGACAGTTGGCAAGCGGAGATGCTCCGGGAGCGATGCAGACTGGAGTGTGTAGTTCCTATGAAGGGAATGCAGAATGGCAGCAGCTCAAGGAGCGAATGTAAAGGCCATATAAGGGAAGCAAATGTACTGCTGTAGAGATGCCATTAGCAAAGCAAGCACTGACTTGGGGACCTTGGCATATACCACTGAAGAGAGAAATTGCATGAATAAATTCATACGTTTTTGCTTCGCTCTAGGTTTGCAAAGTCAGTTTTAACCGAGCGACTGTTTACACGTGTGGAACAGAAGTTTTTTTCCATAGTTATTATAAGGCCAAGTAATTTCTACCAGCGTGTAATCCCAACACATGCCTATTTTAGAGCCATTTATCACTGTTTTATTCTAACCCTTTGGCTAGAGGAGAGCATGGCAGAGCAAGTCTTCAGAGAACGTCGTATTCAGCAGCAGCCCTCCCTTTCTCCCTTCCCTTGTGCAAAGAGCACAGTTCAAGTGTCACAACAGCAGCCTGGGATCCCTGTCATGTCGCATGTAGGTAAAACGAAGCAGCAGGAGGTAAAGCACCTGAGTGAGGCAAGTGCTGGCAGAGGGCAGGAGAGCAGGAGCTGAAGGAGGTCTGTGATTATCCCGAGGCCCACAGCGCTGTGCACGAGGGGAATGTGAGAGCCCGTGTACTTTCGGGGTGGAGGCTTGGCAAACGATTTGAGGGGAGGGTGCGGGAATGGTATGCTGCAGAGCAGGCTGCAGCTCTGCGCTTTGGGAAAGCCATCCCGGCTCCCCTGCTGTAAGTCACCCCTCCAGGCACATCTATGTTCATATTTCAGTGTGGATCAAGGGCACGCTTTTGGAGTGAAACTCCTCCTCATCCTCACCTTCCTTGCTGTGCTTTACTGTGGGGAGGAGAGCACGAAGTGGCCTCTTTTCAGATGAAACTACCCCAGAAAAAGATGCTGTGGGAGTAGGAGGGACCGAGTGAGCTCTGAGCGCTGATGAGCATTCAGGGCTGAATCTGAAATGAAACCTCTGGAAACATGTGAATATTGGTCTAGTGCTGAGCACAAACTGATTTGCTGCACAGATCTGATCAGAGTGAGGCATGTTACTCGCATATATAGACGTAGCCTGGATGCAGCCGTGGGAGGATGGCTATTCCGGGGGGATTCCTGCATTGCCTCCTCTGTGAACCACATCCCTGCAGACACCTTCACATTGAGCCTATATTTAACCTACTTCTCTACTTCTGTTTGAAGCACTTTTCCTTGAAGAATATGTTTTAAATGTTAAGATGGAGAGCTAGATCTTGCTAGATAACTTTCCAATCCATTTTTTATCCCTTGAGAAAATACACATTTTAGGTAGTGTTCCGGTTTTAAGACTTTGCATTATGGGGGAGAAATAAGAGTCTTATTAAGAAAATAAAGTGTCTTTGTAATTTAATTCTGAATATGACTGTTGCTACTATTACATGTTGTAAACACAGGCTGAGTGCAATAAAACTCCCTTCCATTTAACATTAATAATATTAATGATCAGCACTTAAATCACACGCCATGTTCCAGGACTGTAA